CTGCTTTGCTTGATAGTACCAGATTCAAAAGTTTAGGCAACGGCTGTGAAAATAGTGGGATTCATTATGACGCCCATACTGGTTGACTATTATCTACTTTTGAAGACCTGTAATGCCTCCAATGTTTTGGTTTTGTTGGTTTCGTTCTTTACTGTTTTGTTCAATGTATTATAACTGCTGATATAAGCAATTCTATTTGAGATAGCGGGAGGCATTATGGTAACCATTGTTGACCACATTGTATTAGGTTTTTACGTTATCTATTATGTCCACCCTTTTGATTTAACTGATTCTGTTAAGTCACATTTGGTTTTACTCTCTTCCAAAAAAAGCAATAAGAACTGTGGGAGCAATAAAACCCAAAATGTGTAATGGTCATTGTAGAAAAGAGAGGAAAAGGAAGTGCTCTAAATGGTATAACTGCATGTAAATTTAAGTGTATAAGATAGACAATGATATTACTGAGTTTTGTTGGATCATTGAACAGAACTGTTTGCAGTCTCGCTGTTTGAATGTCCACTTTATATGCTTTAATCTTGTAACTTGAACAAATATTTCTAAGAGGACAATATGTAATCCATTAACTAGTGATTTCCTGTTTATTTTTTTTTCTGAAATTCTGTATAACTTGTACCCTTTTTCTGCTTTTTTTTTCCTTTTTTCTCCTTAAATAAAAAAAATATATAAATAAAGAGTAAACATAATTAATTAGCATAGAAATAGGAGAGAACTAAGAACACAAAAGAGAGCTGCCTAGATATCAAGAATACGCAGGTCTGAAAAATAGATTGTTAGTTTCTTTAGCATGAAGACTTGGGGAAAGTTAATCCATTCAAAATTCTAATTAGAAACTGACACTTCAGAGATTATGCAGAAAACTGATTTTAAAAAGCAATCCTCAAAGAAAAGCAAAAGAATGGAGTTCCATTAAAGATCTAAAGGCTTTCTTATTACTTTAAATACATGAATTCTTGATATAGAGACTTGAAACTATCTACTTACCTTGTAAATTTTTTACTTCCTTAATGTTGCTAGATGACTTATGGGCAGTATTCTCAATAAAACTGAGGCTATGCTGTGTTCATAAAACTATAAACATGACTTCCGGGAAAACAAGGCGAATAGATAGCAGCAGCTTCAGAGGCTCTCTGAGAAACCACACTTAAAATCAAGGAATGGTGCAGGGTGAGAAATCCTAAGCAAGGGGAGATATACTTTGCCGAATCAGGAATGAACTAAACTAAGAGAAACCAACTGGAAACGCAATCCCGGTGATATAGCAGGAACAGATAAGGTCTCAGCACGTAAGCTGGACCCCACGCCACTAAAAGCTGTGATTTGAATTTCCTGCAGCCATTGCTGTGTTCCAATTGACGTGGCAAGGAGAGAGGCGCAAAAGCTCTGAGAGTGGAAAGCGGTGAATGGACTTGAGAGCAGGACTGGCCAGGAGCCCTGAATCGACCTGTGATGAGTGAGCGGATTGAGGACCCTTCCATTATAGCAGGAGGCTTCAGCAAAGGACATATTGGGACCAGGCAGACTAGCAGGAACAGGTTGTTGCAGTGACTTCAATCACATATTCCCCTGTCAAGCGGGATTGGTGGGCAGTGCCTGGCCTGCATGATGCCACTGACTAACACCCAGTAGGCTAGCCCAAACCAGATCCCAGCACCTGAAGGTGCACCCTAGCAGTGAAGCCTTCGGTAGGGTGACCTGGAGGGGCAAGCCCAGCATAGGTTGCCCAGGTCTCTGTCTCCCTAGTACACTGCAGTGGGCCGGAACACCTACCAGGCACAATTCAAACAAACTGTAATGGACAAAGAAAGAAACTGGGCCTCCTATATTTGCTTGTATAAAAGGAACAAAAAATACGGGAAGAGGGAGCAACAAGAAAGGGTCCTCTGCCCCCAATCCTGAGAAACATGCAATATCAGACACGGCACCAATAGACATAAAGCGCTATCTCCAGAGCCTCATAGACAAGTTCAGGAATGAAGTTATTAACGACCTAAAGTAAGATATAAGTAGAATAGTTAGAGAAATGCTAAACACTGCTCAAGAAAAAACAGATGGTGGAATGGAAGAACAGGAAAAAAAGGGGAGAACTGTTTGATGGAGAAAATAGAGAAAACATAGAATACATGAAGCAGGTTTAAAGAGATTACCAGGAAACTAAAAACTCTATCGAAAACTGCCATAACAGCTTGAAAGAAACTAAGGATAGATTATCTGAACTGGAGGGCAGATTTGTAATGTGGGAGCATGAAATGAAAACTTCTTAAAAATAACAAAAAAACAAACAGCAACAATACAAAGGCTAGAAGATGATAAGAGGATCTATAACTTAAGAATTAAGAACATAAAAGAAGAAGTAGGGACTCATACAAATGGACTACAAAAGCTACTCACAGAAATAATCCAAGAGAATTTCCCTAATTTAGCAAATGGTAAAGATACTCAGATGTATGAGGCATACAGGACCCCAGCCACCTACAACCCAAACAGAGCTATACCCAGGCATATAATAATCAAAATTCCAGAAATCCACAGAATATTAAAAGCCATCAGAGACAAGAAACAGATCACTTACAAGGAAACACTCATCAGAATTACAGCAGACTTCTCGAAACAAACCATCAAATCACGAAGAACGTGGGGGGAAATAATTCAAGCTTTGAAAGATAATAACCTCCAGCCAAGATTGATATATCCTGCACAACTGTCCCTAGAAATTGATGGAAAAACAAGATGCTTCCAGGATAAAGAGGAACTAGGGGAATTTGCAATCACCAATTCAACTTTACAGAGAATACTGCAAGATATTCTAAAAAAGGAAAATACCAAGATTCCAGAAATAGTGGCAGAGAGGCCACAATGAATGGTACAGAAAGTGAAATGAAGAAGACAAACTGACAACAAACGACAGAAAAAGAGCTCAACAGAAATGAGGCAGAGAAGGTTGGATGATAGGAACAGCTATTTTGGAGAAAACAAGACATCATAATAGCTAGTGCTGATTTAGTATCATCTTGTTTTCAAGTCCCATCAAACTTGTATTCTTCTGTCTCCATCAGTCTTAAAAGGTTGTATCTTATTGGATTTTATTATATATGATAATATAAGTAAAAACTTTTACAGACAAGGATATTATACAGAAACCATTGTTCATTTTCTGGTAATTGGTTCTAAATACCCTGTAATACTGTCATTCTCTTGAATGGTTTTACATGGTCTTGGTATGTTTGGTGCTACAGTATACGAAGTTATACTCAAAGATTTCAAGGAAAGAGACACTATGGTAACTATTTTTATGTCAGGATATCTTGTGGTGAAACACTATTTTGCTTAAATGGTTATGTTTTGACCTGCGCTGTTCTGTTGTCATGCCCTCTTTTATCTCAATTCCTCCCCCCTTTTTTTGTTTTTTAATTATTTACTTTTTTCTTTTTATCTTTTTAATTAAGGGAAAAATAAATAAAAAATAGCAGGATACATTATAGTAACCTACTTTAATTTCCTATTAACTTGATTTGAAATCCTGTATTGCCCTTACCATCTTGTTTTAACTGATTTTCCCCTATTCTGCTTTGCTTGATAGTACCAAGTTCGAAAGTATAGATAAAACTGTTAAGACAGTAAGATTCATTATGACGCCCATTCCAGTTGACTATTTTCTTTTAAAGTCCTGTAATGTCTCCAATGCTTTGGTTTTATTCTTTACTGTTTTGTTCAATTTTATTATAACTGGCAATTCTTCTTAAAATAGCAAGAGGCAGTATGGTAACCATTGTTGATCACCTTGTATTTTGTTTTTACATTATCTATTATGTTCATCCTTTTGATTTCACTGACTCTGTTCTGATATGTCACATTTGGTTTTACTCTCTTCAAAAAAAGTAATAAGAACTGTGGGAGTAACAAAACCCAAAATGTGTAATTATCATTGTACAAAAGAAAAGAAAAGAAAATGCTCTAAAGGTTATAACTGCATATATGTTTAAGTGTATAAGACAGATAACCATATTACTGAGTTTTTTGGATCACAGAACAAAACTGTTTGCACTCTCACTGTTTGAAAGTCCACTTTATATGCTTCAATTTTGTAACTTGAACAACTTTCTAAGATGAGAATATGTAATCTATTAACTAGTGATTTCTTACTGTTTATTTTTTAAATTTTGTATTACTTGTACCTTTTTCTGTTTTTTTCTTATTCTCCTTAAATAAAAATAAAAATAAAAAATAAAACTATAAACACATAAATAATAGATTCTCTAGATCTGTCCAACAAAAATACAATGCAAGCCACTTACACAATATTTTATGTTCCAGGCAGCCATAATTGTTTTAAAAAGTGAAATTAATTTTAATCTTTTATAAAATATAGTTAAAACATCATTTCAACATATAATAATTTTTAACTAATGATATCCCATTTTCAAATCAAGTCTTCAAAATCGTGTTTATTTTACTCTTACAGATCAGCCACATTGTAGGTGCCCAACTACCACATACGACTACCAGTATGGTAGAAACTGACTACCATCTGAACAGTTCAGGTATACATATTGGTAAAATACAAAGGCATTTAAATTAAGCCTTCAAAGATTGCTACTCACCATATTTTTTAAAACAAAATATATTTTACTTAGCTTAAAGGAACTCCTTCCAGCATGATGTCACACACTGGTAATCCCAACACTCTGAAGGCAGAGGCAAGAAGATCACCATGAATTCAAAACCAGCCTTATTTACATAGCAAGATCCTATCTCAAAAAAAAACTAAATAAATAAGTAAACAAACTCTCATTTCTTTATTCTCATCTCACACCATGAATATGCTAGTAAGTAAAATCTGATTCCAAGCAACAGAAAGCTAAAGGAAACAAATATAGTTACAATGCCAAACTTTTACATGATACAAATAGCCCATTCAAAATTTTAATTAACATTATTTCCCATCAGAATTAAAATGTATTTCTATTACAGTTGACACCTACCTCCTTAAGTTCATCTCTACCAATGCCTTTGTTTTTAAAGCAAAAAAGAAACAAACATTTAAGACACAGAGGGGAGGAAACCTATCTTATTTGAACTTTATCAATTATTAACTTCAAACAGATCTTTGACATTGTGTTGAACCATTTCAACACATTTTTTCTGGGGGTGCCACAGGACTTTTGAAAAAGTAATAGCTACTATAAAAATATGGAAAAGAGAAAGATTTCTATAAGGAATTTGATTTTTTGTGTTTCTTTTAAGATATTTTTATATCGTCTGAATCAAAGAGAATTAAATAAAATTTCACCTACATTTAAGGAAGGAGATAGTGAAAGGATTTTGCCCCAAATGGGACACTGTAGCGGGTGAAGCCTTGGAGGTGAAACCAAGGGACTCTATCCTGAGGCCACCTTTCCCTGCCCCTAAGCAATTTACCTGTGGTATGAAATGAATACCAATGGGCTACCTGTGCATCACTAATGTCCCTTAGGCACCACCCCAAACCTAAGCTACATGTATGCCCCCACACCACGACTCTAGCAGAGAGAATTCCAGATCCCAGAGGATCATGGAGTCTCTCTCCACATTCTTAAAACAAAGGCCATTCCATTTTTATTTCATACTTCTTATCCTTTTAGCTATGCCAAAAATTCTATCAGATGGTTCCCTTCCATGCCGAAAATCCTATCAAAGAATAAGTCCCAAATAAAAGCATTAACTGTTATGTCACAGTATTTCTATTCCAGTTTCCATAATTTTTCCATTACATATGTAACATGTATCTTCATTGTAAACCACAAAAATAGAGATTTTAAATTAATATTCTGACAGTGTTTCTCAGCATTAACAATGGTACAGTCTTCGTGTTATAGGCAGCTAGTTAAAAATATTATAGGCAGCCAGACAGGGCTAGACCCTCAAAGAAGTCAGTACACAGGACCAGATGTCTAATGACCTTGGAGGAGACATACGCCTCTTGCTATGGGCCAGACCTCAAGACAGAAAGCAAAACAAATGCAAACACACCCTTAAGTGTAAACCTTAGGGATTAGGTATGGATCATCTTGAGAAACCAGGAGTCTCCATCCATCCCAACCCCCTATAAGGAAGAGTCACTGATTAAGAATGGTCTGTTGCTATGTGACTCTGACTCCTTTCCCCATTTGTCCCTAATTTAGTCACTTTTACCTAAACAATAAAATTTACTGGTTGACCACAGCTCTGTACCACATCATGCCTGTCTGCTTCATGAATTCCTAGTTTCCCCACCTTTAGACCTGCCTCACCTCATGGTTTTACTCTATAAAAACCCCTAGAAAATACAGATTTTTTTGGCAACCCACTGAGGACCCTTTCTGTCTGTCTCTCAGACAGAAACTTTTCTTCTCTCAATAAATATTTCTACTCTTAACCTCCATTGTTCCTAAAATTCATTCTTTGATTTTAGAGAACACAAACTTGTAGTGCAAATATGGTAGGTTGGGAATTTTATTCCCCTATATCTCTAAGACAGAAGAGGAAGAAAAAGCTATACCTTAGCTAATGTCATTTTGTTTTATCTTTACTAAAGTTGGACATGTGTGTTATGCTAGAATTATTCTAAAACAAAACAAAATGACACAATATTCACTCAATCTTTACACATAAATTCTTCAAATGCACTCCAGGTTTTTATTGATTTAAAACAATACTGCATACACACCACATGCACATGTGCACAACTCAAAATTTGAGCACAAGAAAAAGTTAAGATTTTTTAATTCTTCAACAACAGAAAAACTGACAACCTTCTGTTCCTTTTATTTCTTGAAAATCTCATTTTTGTTTTGGAACAAGGTATTGAATCCAGGGCCTCTGGCATGCGGGGCACATTCTCTTCTTATAACCTGTAGACCCAGTTCTAAAATCTCTTTTCTAAACACCTTTAAACAATTCTAGTAATTTTTTTTCTTTAAAACAGGTTCTCCCTGAACTTACTACATAGCCCAGGCTGGCCTCAAACTTGTGGCAATCCTCCCTCAGTCTCCTGAGTGCTGGGATCATGTGTGTGTGCCACCATACTGGGCTTTTTTTTTTTTTTTTTTTTTTTCATTCTTAACATACAAGTTAAACACATTTACTACCCAGGAGTAAATTGTAAATAGTTTGGGAATAAGTTTGTCGATACACTACCAACAGTTCACTTACAACAATTTTTGACACTGACATGTGTCATGTATTGAGATGTCTTAAAAACCTGAAACTAGAAATTCCATTTACCCAACCATTCCCCTTTTGGGTATCTTCTCAAAAAGAGTAAAAGCCACCTTACCACAGGGATACACACATACCTAAATTTATAGCAGTACAACTCAATAGCTAAAGTCTTGTAACCAAGCCTATGTGTTCATTAACACATGAATGGATAGGATAGGGTTGGTGATTTAGCTCAGCGGCATAAGTGCCTGCCTTGCAAGTGCGTGGTTGTGAGTTCGATCCCTGGTACCAAAAAAAAAAAAAAAAAAAAACATGAATGGATAAAGAAAATGTGGTATTTCCACATAGTACTATTCTACTATTTTAAAAATCTTCAGTTGCGTGTAGGAAAATGGACATACCTACAGACTATAATTTTAAGTAAATCAGACATGCAAGCTTAAATATCATATAATTTCTCTTATATGGGAAACCAAAGTATAAAGAGGGAAATAAAAGACAATAGGAAGAGACAGGTTTCTCAAAGTAGGGGGAGGGGATAAAGAGATGGAGGGAAGCAGGGGAGGGGCACAAAATGGAAAAAGGAATTAAAATGTGTTGTGTACATGTACCAGCTCTATATAAGGAATGCTACTGGGGACCATGAATTCACAATGCCTAATTTTGAATACTTCCCTAAGGGATAAATGGAGGCTTGGGATTAGGATATCATCCTTTTGAGACTTCCCATTAACTCTTGAGATAGGCCATCCTCTCCAACCCACTAAGACTAAACAAAGACTAAGCTAAAACTACTAATATGAAAAGGAACACTCCAGAGCAAGATCCTTCTTAATTTAAAATCATCTCCACCCTCTTGAGTCATTCCACATTTATTAGTATCTTAAGAGTATCAGCTAATCTTTACGCTGTACACACCCAATAAATAATGGCTGGTTTGAAGTACGGGTCTTGGGGCTGGGGATTTAGCTCAGGGGCTGGGGATTTAGCTCAGCGGCATAAGCACCTGCCTTGCAAGCAGGCAGTCGTGAGTTCGATCCTCGGTACTAATAAAAAAGAAAAAAAAAAAAAAATGAAGTACGGGTCTTTGCCCATCCTGAGACACTAACCTCCCAAACCCCCATCATGCATTACTAAATTTGTCCCTGTTTCTTATTTAACCTTTACCATAGCCCTCATACAGGGAGTTGGGGATCTTGGCCAAGTTCCTAATAGAATGTAAACATTATGTACTCCTAAAATGTACTAATAAACTCATCTGAAAAAAATTAACAGAGTTTCATATATTTAGCTGTACAATAATTATTTTTTTGTCTTTTTCCTTTTTATCGGTACCAGGGATCGAACTCACGACTGCCTGCTTGCAAGGCAGGCGCTTATGCCGCTGAGCTAAATCCCCAGCCTCATACAACAATTATTGATGACAACCATACAAATAAACTCAAACTTGATCCTTTGCAAACTATAATTCTGTGAAAATTATTTCACTGATGTAAGAACCAATTCAAATTCAAAGTTTACATATCCTTTACCACCCTTTAGCACTACCCATAAGTGTTTCACTTTTCCAAGCCCTGCCCCAGCTTCACATCCCACTAATTTTTCCACCTTGTACCTCCTTGTGCTGTTTAATGACCCTTGTCATTTTCTTTTGAGACCTATTTGCTCACAATAGCCTTTATGCAACCTAATGCTCCACTTTGCTCTTTCAAGAACTTCTTTCAATCCTATTTTATAAGAAACTTTGCAAATTTATATATCTTATTAGACTATCTATTCCCAAAAACTCTCATAAAATATTTGGCTCAAAACCTTGCAAATGTAATAAGCAAAGGAATTACAAATTAAAATCAACACACACATTAAAACCATTTAAAATTAACAGGTCACTAAAAGAGTTTTGGCCCAGACAGGACACTGTAGCTGGTGAAGCCTTAGAGGCAGAACCAAGGAGCTCCTATCTCCCCCACCCCTAGGAATTTACCTGTGACTCCATCTTCCCTGCCTCCAGGAATTTACCTATGGTGCCAAAAGAAGACCAATGGGCTACTTGTGCATACCTAATGCCCCCTTAGGTTCCACCCCAAACCTAGGTTACTTATATGCCTCCACTCCACGTGTTCCACGGAGAGATCGCCCACCCCACCCCCTGGGGGGGGGATGCCGTGCCCCAGGGGATGGGGGTGTCTCTCCCCGCATTCTCAAAATAAAGGTCATTTATATTTCATACTTCTTATCTTTTCAGCTGCCGCCGGTGCCTCACAGTTCTGTCAGTCACAGTCAGCTCCTTACTTTACCCCTCAAGTACTGAGGCCCAAAGAAAATTAATTAAAAAATGTTTTAAAGAAAAAGATAATAAGGAGGCAATTTGTATCACCAAATTTATATGGACTAGTATATCTTTCTTATGTGATGCAATTAGGCCAAGTTCCAAATCCCCACCTTGCAAATTCTGTTCCCCCTCCTGTTACAGGCAGCTGAGCCAGTTAGAAATATTATAGGCAGTCAGATAGGGCTAGGTCCTTGAGATATCTGATGATCTTGGAAGGGACACACACCTCTTGTGTGGGCCAGATCTTAAAACAGAAGGTACAAACGAAACCACACCCTTAAGCATAATCCTTAAGGATTAAACCTGAATCACCTTGAGAAGCAAGAGTCACTCACCATCCCAACCCCCTAGAGGAGGAGTCACTCACTAGACTCACATCCCCATTTGTCCCAGATTCAGTCAGTTTTACCTAAACAATTAAATTTATTAGTTGACCATAGAGCTCTGTCCCACCTCTTGTCCATCTGCCTTGCAAGTTCCCAGTTTTTCCAAAGTTTAGACCCGCCTCACATTGTGATTTTACTCTATAAAAATCCCTAGAACGGGGGCTGGGGATTTAGCTCAGCAGCATAAGCCCCTGCCTTGCAAGCAGGCAGTCGTGAGTTCGATCCCCGGTACCGATAAAAAGGAAAAAGACCAAAAAAAAGGAAAAAAAAAAATCCCTAGAAGACACAGAATCTTTGCCAACCCACTGGGGACCCCTTCTGTCTCTCAGACAGCAGCTTTCCTTCTCTCAATAAATATTCCTACTCTTAACCTCGGTTGTTCTTAGTTGTTCCTAAAATTCATTCTTAGATTTTAGAGAACACAAACTCGTTGAGGGGATAGAGTAGGTCCCAAGTTTCATTCCTCTATATCACTAGAAACCAAATTCAATACCTTCCGTAACTGTTCTACCAATGAATCATAATCATATGCCAGCCTACAAATCAATTTTTAGTGCAATTCACACTTTTTCAGGCCAAAGGAAAATGTATTACATTTTGCAAGTAGATTTTAATAATGAAATTATAAAAAGCATTCTCCTATAAAAAACAATTTTATAATAAAATAATTAGAAAAAAACAATGTTAATATACTGTGTATAATAACCTTAAAAGAATGGCCAAAATGGTACTCAGAGTTCAAGTCATGGACAACAAAAGACTCTTACAAAGAAGAAAAAACAAAAAAATTTTCAATGAAAGATGAGAAACTTGTAGTATAAAATGAAAAAAAATAGCGTATCTTAAAACATATTGAAAACAGAACAGATAATTTGAGAAATTATTTGAACTTCCCCCTATTTCCTATTTATCTATATTTTATTTTGATACATACATATCATACGTCTTATATCATACGACAAACCATGCAATATTTAAGCTTGCACATGACTTATTTTCACTTAACACTGTGTTCTAAAATTGCACCATCTGCATATGAATGTCTAGAGTCTATCTTGCTTTGTGTCATAGTACTCAATTGTGTGTAACTATCACATTTGTTTTATCCATTTATCTGTTGATGAAAATTACTTTACGCTTTCCATGATGGAATAACATATATTGGATACAATCTCTAACCTCAACCCCCGCAAAAATAAATGCCATTCTGGTAGGCTGAGGCAGTAGGATCTCAAATTGGAGCCCAGCCTGGTTAATTTAGTGACTTAGCTAAAAAAAGGTCAAAATATGAAATCAGATGAAAACAATGGTTCTTGGTTCTTAAAACTCTCAACAGTCATCCTCAGGTTCATAAGCGTGATGATTGGGTGTTCATGCTCTATGCATGACATGTGCCTCCTTTCAACCTTGTTACGACCTCGGCACATTACCCGTCTGACATGAAAAAAAAAAAAAAAAACAAAAAAAAAAACTCTCAACAGTTAGGCGTGGTGGTACACACCTGTAATCCCAGCACTCAAGGAGGCATTGCCATGTTATTGGAGGCTTGAGGACTGCTGAGAGTTTGAGGCCAGCCTAGGCTGCAGAAGTGAATTCAAGCCCAGCCTGTACTACACAGTGAAACACTACCTCAAAAAACAAAACAAAACAAAACAAAAAACCCTAGACAACAGGCAACAGTGGTTATTTAACTCCTAAAACTTGGAAAATATCTTACTTACTTTGAAAGACTTTCCCAGGTTTTGGCACAGGTAGAAAAAATTCAGTCTTGACTCCTTGCTTTGAGAGCGGAGCTGAGAGTCATAACAAATCAGATGAGCCACATTTCAGATTGTTACCTGCAGTAAGACCAAGGCAGCTACTGTACCTGGCTCTCTTTCTTTGTTTTGGGGGGTTCTGTCTGTTTATTTTTGGTGGATTTTTAAATTTTTTTTAGTTTTTTGAGACAGGGTCTCACTATGCAGTTGAGGCTTATCTCATCTCAAAACTCAAGGGTATCTTTCTGCCTCAGGCTCCCAGTGCCGAGATTATAGGCATATATCACCATGCCTGACTTATACCTGGCTTTTTTTTTGTTTCAATATAATTTAAAAAGATAATTGTTGAAGCAAATACAATACAGAGTTTATTATATATATATATATATATATATATATATATATATATATATTAAAATAGATGACAAAACTAGAATGAAGATTGGGAAGGAAAAATAGAAGTGTACCATTCTAAGGTTCTTTACTACATGCAAAATAGTATTAGTTAAAGTTGAATGCTATAAGCCTTAATGCAATCACTAGTGTACCAGTTATAGCTCAGAAAAATCAACAAAGAAGATAAAATATAATTATAAAAATATTTAATTAAGAGCCAGATATGGTGGTACATACCTGCAGTCCCAGCACTTAGGAGGTTGAGGCAGGAGGATGGATCACTGCAAGTTCAAGGACAGCCCAGACTACATAGTGAATTCAGGGCCAGCCTGAACTACAAGCTAGCAAGATCCTGTCTCAAAAAAAATCAGAACAGGGGGCTGGAGGTTTAGCTCAGTGGCATAAGCACCTGCCTTGCAAGCAGGCAGTCGTGAGTTCAATCCCCGGTACCAAAAAAAAGGAAAAAGACCAAAAAAAAAAATCTTTATTTTTAAAAAATATTTAATTAAGGAATAAGAAAGCAGTATAGTTGAAGGAAGAACAGATTAAAGAACAAGAAAACACTTAAATATAGTCTAACAGTCATATTAAACACAAATAATTTATTTTCTACAAAAAATCTTAAAAACATTAAGGTAGGTGAAAGAGGCCTGTCATAATAGACCACCTATTATATGACTGAAATGCTCATAATCCATAGAAACAGAAAGTGAATCAGTGACTGGAAGGATGAAATACAGGCTAATGGGACCGCTCTTTCTTTCGTTCATTCTTTCTTTCTTTCTCAAATCCATTTTATTCCAAAGAAAAAAATAAAATAAAATTTCTAAACATGACAATCGGGGTGAACAACAGTACATACATTACATATCGCCATCCCCAAATGGGAACAGTTTCTTTTCGGAAAAATGTTCTCAAATTGGACTAGTCCTAATGATTGTAAACTTTGTGAATATACTAACAATGACTAAATTGTACTCTTTGAAGGGTGAATTCTGCTGGGTATTGTGGCACAAGCCTAGAATCCCAGTACTTAGAAGCCTAAAGCAGGAATAGATTACTTTTGACTTCAAGGCTAGTCAGATCCTGTCTCAAGGGGTGAGGGTGGGGGTGGGGTTGAAATAATAATTTTTTCCCCTTGGTACTATCTTGCCTCACTAATAAAAGGTTTGGTCATCTGATTTACTTTAGTCAATAAAATGTAAAGCAGAAGTTACATATATCATTCCCTAACAGATTTTTTAAGCTATTTTAATTGTCTCTCTCTCTTTTAACAAGGTCTCACTGTAGTTCAGGCTGGCTTTGAACTTAGCACTCTCCTGCCTTGGCCTCTCAAGTGCTGGGATTATAGACATGGCATCACTATGCCCCCCTGTATCTCTTTTCCATTTGCTTTAAGTCTAGTTTACCTAGGAAGGAACTGGGTGGTAGTCCTGCAAAACATGTGAAGCAAAAATATAACCAACATGTAGCTTGAGATAAATGCAAATGTGACCATTTATAAAACTTTATCCAATATATCAACTAAAAGGCAAAGATAGATTATATTTTGTTAAAACTATGTAAAACCTAACAACAAATTTTAAAGATAAAGAAAAACAAGATTTGGGAGTGTATCTTAGTGGTAGAGGGCTTGCTTAGCAGGCACAAGGCCTTTGGTTTGATCATTAGTACATGCCCCCCCCCCACATACAAACACAAATACATTAAAAAAATGGAAAACTATAGGGGCTGAGGATTTAGCTGAGCGACGTTAAGTACTTGCCTGACAAGCAAAACATCATAAATTCGATTCCTGGCACCAAAAAAGAAAAATATATAAAAAGTTAAAACCATTCTGAAGAAAACTATAGTGACTATAATAATGAGATACAGAAGATTTCCAAGCTAACAATATTACCAGAGGTTAAGTTTATTTCATGAGAAAATGCTAATAATCCTAAGTATCTAGTAACATAACTTCATGTTATTATAAAACAAAGACAGAGCTTTAAAAAATAACAAACCTATAATTCTAGTTGGATGTTCTAATACTACTCTCTCAATACTTGACATAACAAACAAAAAACTAGCAAAGATAAACTTGAACAACAGTTACCAATTTGAATCAACTGACAATTATACAACACTTCAACAAACAACAGGTGAATACACATTCTTCTCAAATGTACATAAAACATTCACCAAGAAAGACCATATTCACGGCCATAAAACAAGCAATAAATTTGAAGGAATGTTGCTAAAGCAAGGGTTGAAGAGATACATATAGCACTAAATACCTATATTAGAGAGGGAAGCACTCCAAGGTCACGAGACATTGTTGTTATTGGTCAAAGATATTTCAAGACAATCATAGACCAATTTCCAACAGCTATGCAAAATTTCTCAACAAAATTTTAGCAAGTCAAGTCCAATAATATTTTATAAAGATACTAATATTTATAAAGATAACAATTTTTATAATCAAGTAAGATTTATCCTTACAATGTAAAATTAGTTTAACATTAAAAAAATGTAATTTATCACATTTTTAAAGCAAAAGAATAAAATCACATCATATCAAGTGATTAAGAAAAAGCACTTTTTAAAAAATCCCAAATCTATGTTAGATAAACTCTCAGGAAGATCGGGAATATAGCTCAGCACCGTAAGACCCAGCATGGCCAGTGCGAGGTCCTGTTAATTCAATTCCTTGTACCAAAAAAAAAAATCCTCTCAGGCCAGGCAAGGTGAGGCACTCTTGTAATCCGAGCTCTCAGGAGGCTGAGGCAGGAGATTCATTGCAAGTTCAAGACTAGCCTGGACTACAAAGTCAACCCAAAGCCAGTCTGAACTACATAGTGAGACCCTGTCTCAACAAAACAAAACAAAACATAAAAAACTTTCTCAGCAAAAAAGAGTAAGAAATGTTAAACTGATTTAAAAAAGGCACATACAAAAATGTTATGCTTTCCCTGCTAGTATAATGGTGGAAAAAAAAAAAAAAAAAAAGATTAGGAAAGAAAGATCTCTACACACTAACATTCAAATTATACTGTGCTAGTCTGTTTCTATTTGATAGAAAAAGGAGACAGAAGATGTAAAAGTGCTCCTCTGATTCACAGATAACATGCTCATCTATGTAGGAAACACCTCTGGAATCTTTAAAAAAATATTACTAAGCCAAAAGCCCTATCAGAATAAAGAATCTAGCAAGGCCCCTGAATTCAAGACCAATACAACAAAAACAACGTCTCTATGCTAGCAATGAACAAATAAAAATTAAATTTACAAAAACAGTATCATTCACAGATAATAATTGAGAAATACACTGTTTATGGGGTAGAAAAAATACTATTAAATATTCAATTCAATCACAGCCAAAATTTCAACAGGTATTTTATAAAAATTAGTAAACTGACTGTAAAACTTACATGAGAATGCCAAGGATTTAGCTCAGCGGCATAAGCGCCTGCCTTGCAAGCGCGAGGTAGTGAGTTCGATCCCCAGTACAAAAAAAAAAACTAAAAAGAAAAAACTTATAAAGAGAATGTCAAGCACCAAAATATAGCCAATACAAAGTTAGAAGATTAATATTACCAGATTTCAAGACTTTTAATATAAAAATACAGAGTCTAGAAACAAGCTCATCTATTTATAGACAACTGATACCTGTTACAAGAATAAGTAGAGAAAGAATAGTCATTTTAACAAATGACACAGAAACAATCAAATGTACATATTCAAAAATGAACTTCAACTTGTATTTTGCACCATATACAAAATTAACTCAAAATGGATCACAGAGCTATATGTAAAACATAAAACTAAAAAAGTGCTTAGGCTGAGTGTAGTGCCTATAGTAACTGCTACTTGGGAGGCTGAGGCAAAATCACTTTAGCCCAGGAATTTCAAGACAGACTGGGCAATATAGCAAGATCTCCACCTCTTTAACAAACAAACAAAATACATTTCTAGGGTTTTTTTTTTTTGGTGGGGGCGGGGGGGAGTGCTTTTGTTGGTTTGTCTATAGTGGTTCTGGGCGTTAAACCCAGGGCATTCAAACTAAACTACATTCCCAGCCTTATCTATCTATCTATCTGTTTTTATTTTGAGACAGTGTCTTACTATGTCACTAAATTGCCCAGCTGAGTTCCAACCTGCCATTCTCCTGCCTCAGCCTCCCAGAGAGCTGGAATTAGAGGTATGTGCTACCACACCTTGCTGAAAAGATACTTTTAAGAGAATATTATTAGCCAATCAACTCGAAAACCAAGACTTAAAAAATTTTTTATCTAATAAAGGATATGTATCTCAAATATATTTTAAAAAAACTCTCAAAACACAGTAAGAAAGCAAACTAACTTTTTAAAAAACGATGTAAGTTTGAGGCCATTCTGGTCTACAAAGTTCAAGGTCAACCTGAATTGCATAGTGAAACCCTTCTTCGAAAGAATAAAACAAAAAAAAGATACACAAGTAGCAAATAAACATATAACAAGATGCTTAACACTATTAAGGAAACACCAATAAAAAGCACATACCAGTATCTACTAGAATGGCTAAAATTAAAAGGAGTGCCCATACAAGTGTTGGCAAGGATACAGAGGAACAAGAAACTTCATATACTTTGGTGGCAATGTGGAAAAATACAGGCTCTTTGCAAAACTGGTAGTGGAACATAACACCTACAACAGAACCTTTCAACTTCTAGGTATTTGCCCAATATAAGTAAAAGTATCCACCAATGCAAAGCCTTACATTAAAGTATTTACACCACTGCACACCCAATAGGTTAGGGGATAAACACTACATGTCTGCTTGACAAAATACTGATGCACAACAACAAAGAAGTAAACTACTGATGCATCCTATGACAACTCTCAAAATAATTATGCTAATTGCAATAATTTATACAAACAGAGTACATACTGAATGATTCTATTTCTCTAAATTCTCAAAAATATAATCTACAGTGGCTACATAGGGAGGGAGAAAGCAATGACACAGGTGTTCATTTTCTTGATTATGGTGACAGTTTCATAGGTACACATGTTGAAATTTATCAAATTATATGTGTATGTATTTGAAGTTAGGTATGGTTTTGCACACCTGTAATTCCAATACTGTAGATGGCTGAAACAGGAGGATTCAAAATTTGAGCAACACTTGGGCAACTCAGCAAGACTGTTTAGAAATTTTAAAAATTCAAAAAGCAGGGCTGGGAATTTAGCTCAGTGGCATAAGTGCCTGCCTTGCAAGCACATGGTAGTAAGTTGGATCCCCAGTACCAAAAAAAACCTTCAAAAAGGGCCAGGAATATAGCTTGATGCAAAGACCTTGAGTTTAATTCCAGTGCCACACAAACACAAACACACACACACACACAAAAAAAGACATGTAATTAATTATGTCAATTATACATCAAAAAGGTAATAAAAAATGATCTTTGTTTTTACCCTTAAAGCTGATGACAACATTATGGCTTATGTGCCAAAGCTTCATGCAGGCACAGGTGGGGCTTTTCCACACACTCTGGATCTAAAGTGTGTGATACTGGGATTAAGGGTGTATGGTTACTACATTAGTCCACTGATTGGTTAGGCATAGTTCTGGGCATGGAAAATGGGAAGGCCCACCTGGGTATAAGGGCTACCTGCCCTAAGGGTGTGTAGCGTGGATTAAAGGGACAAAAAAGAGAGCTGCCGCCTTCACTTGTTGCTTCCGGCTTTGGTTTTTCACTACTTTGCTGCCTACTGCTCACTATTAACAGTTTCTCCTCTGCAATGCCTTTCTACCATGTCACCCTGCATTGAAGCCAGCCAACTGTGAACTAAAACCATTACAAATTGTGAGCTAAATAAATCTTTCCTTTAACTTTCAATGTTGAGTATTTTGACTCAGCAATAATAAAAAGAAACTAAAACAGCATTCCATACCCTGTGCTATGGTTTAGATCAAGAATATCCTCCAGCCAAGCATGGTGGTGCACACCTATAATCCCAATATTGAGAGGCTGAGACAGGGGAACACTGAGAGGTTGAGCCAACCTAGGCATCACAGTGAGTTCAAGGCTAGCCTGAACTGCAGAACAAAACCCTACCTCAAAAAGCCAAAAATAAATTAACGAGACAAAACAAAAATGTCCTCCAAAGGCCTCATGCTCTATAGCAGGGCTTTGGGAAGGTGACTGAATTATGGGGGCACTATAGTTGACTTGCTGTTGGGAGGTCAGGCCTGGTCAGATGAGGTGGACTCACTGAAGGCATTACATGGAAGGGTACATATCCCTTTCCAGCTCCTCCCTTCTTTCTTTCCCTGCTTTCTTACCACCCTGACATGAACAACTTTCCTTCATTATGCCACTCTGCCATCCTATTCTACCTTTAGCCAGTGGACTATGGACTGAACCATAAGTCAAAATTAACCTCTCCTTCCTTAAGTTATGAGTGCTGGGTATTGTGTCTCTGTGACAAGAAAAGTGACTAAGACTTGGCTGAGCATAAAAGATTACTCTCTCTTATATTTTTTTCTGAATATGACACAGATCTTATACTAATACAAAGAATCTGGACTTCACACCAAGCAGAGTAAACAACATTGCAATTCATACTCATCATGAGAGATATATTATCTTCCACAGATAGGTTTCTGAAAAGATTTCCCTCTCTAATCCCAGGTCAGACATCCACATCTGGCTGAATTATTTTACATTTAAACCAAAGAGACTATGTAGTGAAGGGTATATAAGCATATGTGTTTTCAGTTTATTGGTGTTACCCAGATTAACCTGAAACTCAAAATCCCACATCTCAGCCTCCCAAATAGCTAGTACTACTGTCATGTGCCCCTATACCCTATTAAATTAGCAAACTTCAATGAGAAATGGTAAGTCTGGGGATATAGCTCAATAGAGGGCACTTACCTAATATGTGCAAGGCTCTGGGCTAAATTCCCAGCAACATCCAAAACAAAATTTTTTTATAACATTCAGGAAGGTTTTAGGGAATTTACTATATTAAGTAAACAAATCAACTCTTATGCTGGGCATGGTGGTGCACAGCTATAATCCTAGCACTCAGGATGCTGAGGCAGTAGGCTTATTAAAAGTTTGAGTCCAGCCTATAATACAAAATGAGTTCAAGGCCAGCCTGCACTGCATAATGAAATCCTGTCTCAAAAAAAAGAGAGAAATATCTATAGCTATCTATATAAAACAAAATTTTAGTCTGTTTTAAGCCTAATGCACCTGCCACAAAAAGATTTGAATACTTTTGGTAGGTTTGGTAAATGAGTCAAAAATTACAAAAAAAACATTCTTCATATATATTCAAAATTTTCACTACAGTTGAGTTTGTGTGATAATTAGGAAAAGAAATGTCATGCAGCTCACTCACCTGTTTTGTTCCTCCAGTTTAGCCAGGAGTTCCAAGTCGTCAGGACTTAGCTGTGGTGGGGAAGATGGTGAGAGGGCTGGTGTTGACAATGTGGTAGATGAGGATGTAGTATGTAATGAAGCAGATGGACTTGCCACCTGACTGGCCATCTGACTGACTGTCTGCGATACTGTGTTCTTCACCCATGAGAGAGTAGAACTCAGCTTTTCTGCAACCTTGTCTGTCGCCACCTGATGATGCAAATAAATGTAGCATATATTTTAGTGTCACTGCATTTATTACCATGAACTTGATAATCCTATTAATAATTTAATAATTACCACCAAAATGTTCTCCTTGAGATGATACTATAAAACGTGTTTAGCAACCATTACCCTAACATCCACATTTTAGAAACTGGCTATTTGAAGCTACACATTTTCAGCCTCAACAAACCAAAAGAGGGTTTCCTAAACAGCAGGCTAAAATATAGCAGGTATTAATGCAACCACTTTCACAGGTAATACCAGCATGTTTTAAAAATGAAAGTAGACAATACCAAAGTAAGAATAAGTACTCATAAAATTTTTGTTTTAGTTATATATATATTAAAACTATAGACTGTAAGACCAGGCATAGTGGCACATGCCCGTAATCCCACCACTTGGGAGGCTGAAGCACAAAGATTGTTGCAAGTTCAAAACTAACTCAAACTATATAATAAGACCCTGTCTAGAAAAATCCAACATACATATATGTATATATGTATACACACACAAACACATCCCTACACAGTTATTGAGTCAGGATATATTCTTTATTAAAGTTTTAGTCAAAAACATCTGAAACCCAAGGGCTGGGGATCTAGCTCAGTAGCATAAGTGCCTGCCTGGCAAGCGTGAAGTAATGAGTTTGATCCCCAGTACCAAAAAAAAAGAGAGAGAGAGAGAGGGAGAGAGAGAAAGAAAGAAACACCTGAAACCCAAGGAATTAAAAAATGTCTATTAGATAATCAGAATAGGGAAATTCTATCACATGACTAACAACAAAAACAGGATGTTCAGCATAAACAAGATATAATGAGACGCCTTATCAATTTGTCACCAAACCACTGAAGAGCATTTTCACAGAAGAGGAAACAGCTCCACAAGAACAAAAGTGTAAGTAGTAAAGTTAATAGACTGAACGAGGTTCAAGGCAGAATTTTCAAGTAGTTGGAGCTATTCAGAAATAGATGCCCAGAAAGAACCGGAATTAGTGAGGCAAGAATCAGGATTCCATTAGATCCCAAAATAGAGTCAGGAAGCTCCAAGCAGAATCTGCTGAGTCACACCCCTCAAGGGATCTTACAAAAGCATCTGCCCTTACAAAAACATCTGTCCTTTGGCTGACTGGTAACTCCCAGAGCATGATCATTCAAGCGCACATAAGCCAAGTACACACACACCTGCACACTTAGGAACACTCAATCAGATCCTTAAAAATATGGATTCACCTTCACAGTAGAGATTATAGTTCTTACACAGCAGCACAACCTGCCTTCTAAATCCCTTCAAAGGCTCTAAACAAAGAGCTATTATATGTATCCTACTCAGAATCCCCTCTTAGCTAGCAGGAGCTTTACTTTCTTACCTTTACATCTTTTATCTGTTTGTTTGTTTGTTTGTTTGTTTTTGGTGCCAGGAATCAAACTTAGGACCTTGCACTTGTCAGGCAGGCACTGTCTTTTATATCTTCTTTTTTATTTAGTTCATTTTAAAGAACAAAAACAGAATAGATCCTCCCTTCTCTCGCTCTCAAAAGCACACACAAGGCTCTAGAACTAAGATGGCAGAATGGTAAAGAGCAGAGAAAACAGCCTGAGAGTCACCATCCAGATGCTGCAATATAGCATTATGAGGAAGCCAAGAAGGAGAGAGGTGGGTCCCGTGGACCCAGGAACAATGAAAAGATTGAAAAACCACAACACACCCTGCAGAAATCCAAAAGATCATCTGTACCTACTTTGAAATCTTGTATTCTAGTAAGATAGAAAATACAGAAGAAATAGACTGCTAGATACATATTAATTACCAAAGCTGAATCAAGATATAAAAATCCTAAATAAACCAAGATCAAACAATAAAATCAAAGATACGATTAAAAACCTATCAACAAAGAAAAGCCCAGGCCCTGATGGATTCACTGCTGAGTTCTACAAGAAATTTAGTAACTACCTAACACCACTACTTCTCAAACTCTTTAATGAAATTGAAAGGGAGGCAATACTTACAAATTCATTCCTGGAGGCAAAACCAGAACCAGACAAAGGACCCAACTAAGAAAGAGAACTACAGACCAATCTCCCTAATGAACACTGATGCAAATATCCTCAATAAGATACTGGGAAACAGACTGCAGCAAATTGTCAAGAAGATTGTACGATTGTATGATCAAGTGGGATTTATCCCGGGGATGCAGGGATGGTTCAACACACGTGAAACATAATATACCATATTGCCCAAAGACAAAAATCATATAATCATCACAACAGATGCAGAAAAAGCTTTTGACAAAGTCCAGCACCCATTCATGATTTTAAAAAAATACCCTACAGAAAATGCGAATAGATGCTCTTTATCTCAATCTCATAAAAGCCATCTATGACAACATCATACTAAATGGACAAAAACTGAAAACTTTCACTATAAAATCAAGAACAAGACAAGGATGTCCACTGTCTCTACTCATTTTCAACACAGTCCTGGAAACTTTAGCTAAAGCAGTTTGACAAGAAGAAGAAAAGAAAGAAAGATAGGGAAGAAAGAAATTAAACGATCATTATTTGCAGCTGACATGATGCTCTACTTAGAAGACCCAAAAGACTACTACATTTAATAAACAAATTCAGTAACATACCTGGATACAAAGTCAATACTCAAAGATCAACACCCTTCTTCTTGTACATGAGACACAAACCAGGGAAATAACACCTTTCACAGTAGCATCCAAAAAATGAAATACCTAGGAATCAATTTAACAAAAAATATAAAAGACTCTATATGGAAAACTATAGTACTCTCAAAAAGGAGACTGAAGAGAATATATTGAAAATAATAGCTATCCTGTGCTCTTGGGTAGAAAGAACCAATATAGTGAAAATGGCCCTGCTGGGCGTGGTGGCTCAGGCCTGTAATCCCAGCACTCGGGAGGCTGAGGTGGGAGGATCGTTGCGAGTCCAAGATCAGCCTGGGCTACAAAGTGAGCTCAAGGCCAGTCTGAACTGCACAGCGAGATCCCGTCTCAAAAAAGACCAAAAAAAAAAAAAAAGAAAGAAAGAAAGAAAAGAAAATAGCCAAAATTCCAAAACTGTTACATAGATTCAATGCAATTCCAATCAAAATTCCAATAGCATATCTCTCAGAATTAGAGAACACAATCCTAAAATTCATCTGGAACCAAAAATAACCTACAACAGAAAGGCAATCCTGGGCAACAAAGGGACAACAGGAGGCATCACAATCCCTGACTTGAAATTACACTATAAAGCTAAATGGAGGCGGAGGGGTAACGGGGATCAAACTAATGCTTCGCACTTGCCTGGCAGGTATTTGTGCTGCTGAGCTAAATCTCCAGCCCTGAAAAGCTTTTTTTCAGCAAGAGAATCCACCAACAGAGTGAAAAGACAACCCACAATGTAGAAGAAAATGTTTTCCAGCTGTACCTCAGACTAATGATTACCTCCAAGAACACAGAACGAACTTAAAAAAAAAAAAAAAAAAAAATCAGACCTCTCAATTTTAAAGACCCCATCCAAAAATGGGCATCTGAGGTGAATACACACTTCTCAGATAACAGCAGCCAGATCTTGGAAATAATCTAAATGCCCATTGACAGAGGAGTGGATAAAAAAGATGTGTTTTTATACAATGGAGTACTACTCAGCCATAAAGAATGATAAAGACTTCTATAGGTGGATGCAACTTGAGATCATACTCATAAGTAAAACATGTAAGACGCATATATGTAAATATTGTATTGTCTCACTAGTGTGAAAAGCTGAAAGAAATATGTATATATGTGTGTGTGCATATGTATATAAAAGATAGTTATGATAGTTTTACTACAGGTTTCTCAGAGTTCACTGAAGAGAAAGATTTGTGTTGGTACTGTTTGGACAACTAATGCAGATGTCTTGTGCTCCAGGTCAATGATTTGGAGATGACAATGTACAATGTATATACCATTGTTGCCCCCAATTGATGCGTTTTGAAATTGTTTTAGTATTTTTTTCCTCTTTAAAATAAAAAACAGAAAAGAACTTCAAAACAAGATAATATAAAATCAAGAATGGCTCTTACTATACTTAATATACACATTAATTCTCTTATCAAGAATTTTCCCTTTATCTTGGTTGTTAATAACAATGCAAAAAATATACTGTGTAATACCATAGGAACCTCCACTTTTGTCATGATTTCCTTTGTATGGCATTCCTTTGTTAACAGTATCCACTGCCCTGACGTCTGCAATATAACTCTTTATATGGGTTCACATGTATGTGGCCAAACTCAATGTTTTCTAAAAGGCCTAGAGAACATACATTGGGATCCTCTCATTTTTCCCTTTACACTGATCAATTCAGCAAATTACAAAGATGACAGTTTTTGACAAAAGGAAGCTCGTGACATTCTGTTTTTCCTTTAACTCTTACTTTTTCACACTTTACCCTGCTGCCTATGAACCTCCTACGTCACTTTCTGAGTAAACTGATGCCAAAGAAGTATAATAAATCTGACAATGTAACTATGTCACAAAGTTCCTGTTTACCCCCTAAAGGTGTTATGCATTTATTTTTTAAAGTAAATATACAGTAATTTGAAAATGCTATGCTTATCATTAAAAAAGAGCTTAGTAATCACATATAAAACGTCAGATATTATACTATTCCTTTTTTTTTTTTTTTTTTTTTTTCTTTTTGTACTGGGCAATGACTCATGACCTCATACTTGCCAGGCAGGCACTTGTGCTGCTGA